ACTAGGTGGTTTTGTTCCAGACCTCTACTACTCTTTGTGTAAAAATTGAAATCTTAGCATAGGGCCTGAATGCTCCTCTTCTCTGCTTGTGGGTCAAAGTCCTCATTTAGTCAGTTTTGGCTGGTCACTTATGTTGACCTATATATGAGGATTGTGAACTACAATCATTTTGCCGTGTTCTCTGTTAAAGAGTAAAATTATATAGTTTGATCCTTTCCTTCCTTTTTTCACTTTTGTTCTCTCTCTCTTTGGCAGGGTGTCTGCTGGAGTCTTCGAGCCGGTGGTTATTGAAAGCCATTAGTCTCCCCTGGGAACTGTGTTGGCATTTTGGCTGATTTTTCTTCCCGTCTCATCGATGACAGAGGAGAAGAAAAGATTCAGCTGGCAGAGGTTAAACGTGTCAGTTCCTGGAACCTCCAGCACTGTGCGCCTTCCAGTAACCTTTCGTCATGTTGAGAAATGTTAATAGATGTATCCAGATTATAAACATACTGTGTCCCAGCAAGCCAAACTGGCTTTTATACAAGATTATGCTAATAATAAGTGTTTAGATTCAGAGGCTAACAGCTAGTCAGCTAACAATATAAAAGGTGGTGGGATTTTTGAGTTATGTAATGTATTCACTTGTATGACTATGAAACTGTTCTGTGTGATCTAAAGACTACATTTCCCAAGAGCAATTCTCCACCTTACTCAGCATCTCAGAACAGAAAGGCACTATGGGGAATGGAGTGCTCTGCCAAGAGCAGAGGACAGCATTCCTCTTAAAAACTCTGTACATTCCATGATGCTGCCAAAGAGTGCGAAATGTAGTCTTTTGAGTCGTGTTTCTTGAGTGCATTTGTTAAAAAGGGATCAAATGTAAGAGCGGAGCATTGCTGCTTTGCATCTGGGTTTTAGACTAACTTCTCAGATACCTGGGAGCTAAGCAGTTTTAACTTGGATCGCAACGAGGAATAGTGAAAGAATCCAGACAGGGAGATGGTAAAAACCACTAGACAACATTTAGCCAGGGCCACTTTAATGGGAGAAAGAAGGTTTAACTGCCATTTTGCGATGATTTGGTGTGGACAGTCCCAGCCCAGCCTCCCAGAATGATGAGAACAGCAGCCATGAGATGCTCTGTTTACTATTATTCTCAAGCCCTTTAAAAGTCCACTTGTCCTTTCCTGGCTATGTCATGTTCTTTGGTCAAATTGTGGACAACGCACACGTGTCCTGAGTGTATATATCTGTAAACCGTTTAAAAACCAAGGGAGATGCTGGGCTTGAAATTCTGCCTTCCGGCACCAGATTCTGTTCTGTGGGCAACCCCCCCCCACCCACCCAAACAGCCCAGTCTCAGACCTGGGGGGCACTGGCGAGTCCTGTTAACAGAGCAGAAACGTTCAGAAGCGGCTCAGGGTGGAAGACACGAGTGAAACCAGCTTTCCTGGACCTGCTCGACGTGCGTGGTCTCCACTGAGAAGAGAAACCCCCTTCTCTTTGAGGGGGGGAGGGGTCTGGGGGGGCCTGAAAACTGGAGCAAGTGTCACCCCCCTCTGACAATGCTGGGCCTGGAGTTTTGCAAAGGGAGGGGGCAGATTATTTAGGACTGAGTCTCCCCCTCTGGCTGCTGGGTTACGGGGAGTGAGGTGGCAGTTGTACTCAGGTCATGCTGGACAACAGAGAGATTCTTTGTAATAAAAAAGCATAAAAAGTGGAACTACTCCCCTCACTCCCTGGCACCCTTTCTGGTCGTTTTGAATACATCATATTTAATTAAAGTTTCTGAGGTTTTTTCCCCAACACGCAGAGCCTGTGACTGGGTGTACGTTCTGCCCACTGTATTTCCATTCATGCAAGAATGGCAAAGAAAGACCTGCTACATTTTCTCCAGTCGCACACAGTGAGTCCTTGTTTGGTTGTCTGTGTGTGTGTGTTTTCTGTGCTCTATTTTTAGTGAATGCAGGGTTTCCTCTAATTGAAGCTAGCTGTGCTAGCTCTCACGAGGACAAAATCTTTCTGGATATAAGCTACTTGTCATGGAGGCTTCTCTTTCTGGTTCGTCTTCTTTAAAGGTTAAATCACAGCAGTTGCCACTTTGTAGCTCAAGCCTGCTCACCTCAAGGTCAAGAGGCAGTGGAAGTGCGTTGTGCTTGAAGTCCCGGTGTTACTGAGCGATTCGGAAACTGGCGGAGTGTCTGTGAATCGAGGTCGCGAGGAGAGCTGGCGGTGATGTGGTCTGAGCACTGCACAGGCGCTTGCCGGTTGACGAGCTAGAGCTAGAGCACAGTATTATACAAATGTAGCCACAAATAAGTAAACTAGGCAGCTGACGTGCGGTTAGTACTGCAACTCATTCCATCTGGTAGCGGATTGTAGAGGAGGGTCTTGGAGCCAGGCTGTGCTTGGTGTTCATTTTCTCCTGCTTGTGGCCCTGAAACCCACATTTCATTGCACTCCTCTCCGGAACAGGGTGACATCTTGGGGCCCTTTCCAAGACTGGGCTTGCAAAAGCACAATTCAGGAATGACTTTGCAGACCTGGAATTTAGTAAGGAAGAGTAAGGAAGACGTTTCGTTACCACCCGTTTGCTCTGTTCGCTCTGCTGTCAGCATGGCAGTCCAAGCCTGCTGTCCCCGAGATCGTGTAGCCAGCGCTGTGGAGGGTCCTGGCATTAACACGATTAGCAGCCCTTCTCACCGGCTGTGCGAAGCGGGGCTCGGCCAGGCCGAGAACTCAGCGCTGTGCCGTTGTCCTGGGTGTCGCTGGATCTCCTAGTGTTAATCTCGCTGGCTTGGAAAGAATGAAAGCATTGAAGCTGAACCCTTTGCCCGTCCCTACAGTGGCTGTATTGTGTAGACAGTTCCCTGGTGTAAACTGGTGGCCGCTGGAGACATCCCGCTGGGAGGACGGTTGGCCAGAATCCAGCGCTGTTTCTTAACGTTTGCATCTCAGATCTTTACTTCCTGTCGCTCCTAAAAGAAACGCGTTGTTAGTGGTCCAGAACGTCTGCAGGTCGCGATCCAGACGGTTTCTAGCAGTTAGCGCTTTCTCTTAACAGGAATTGCTGTGCAATATGTTCTTTCCCGGTTGAGAGCCTTTTTTTCTAGGGATCCATGCTTGCCCGTTAATGGATTTAAAATGCAACTTTGAAAATATTGACCCCTTTTAATAATATGTCCCATCTGTGTTTGTGGCACGTGAACAAAAGCAGGTACAGTTGTCACCTTATGGAGGGAGAGAATCCAAATTGCTTACGTTTATAGAAGCATGTGTTTTTTGGGGGGGATGTTTGTAAACTCTAGTTTTAGAAGGCCCGGCTTTTGAGAAAAATCCTTTGTGTAACCAGAATGGTTTACAGAGTTAACACAACATTTTCTGATTTGGTTCTTATACTGTAATAATTCTTAGGCTTTTAGTTACATTTTCCAATCAATCCGAACCTTTTTTGTTGAGTTAGTGAGAAAGCCAGTCCAGTCACGTCCAAAATGCAGATGGAAATCTTTCATCCTGTGCTTTTCAGACAGAGGCATTCTCTTTTTTTTTTCCTGTTGTACAGTTTGAAGTGCGGAGATGCACCAGAGCGGCGGTGGGCAAGAGAAGACGATACTGCCCTCTGCTGGCTTTTTTTTTATTGTTACAGAAACGTGTTTGGTTCTTAAATGTAACACACTGAATCACTGGTGTGAATCGAAATTCCTCCAAACTGTGGACCACTGGCTTAGAACCTTGGAGGAAAATTGAAAAAAGCTTTCTTTTTGTATTACTGTGTTACACAGAGTTTTTTCCTAGGTATTTTTTTGTATTATTACCATTTTGATTAATTTCTTTTTTTTTCCCCAAAACCAGCAGGCTGGTTTGTTGTTTTTTATGGAAGACCCGACTGGGTGGGCATTTACAGCTTACCTTGTCAGTCAATCCTTAGGTAGAAATAACAAAAACAAACTTTGTGTATTACAATTTAAAAGCCGTTATTTGTGGTTCTTGTTTTCTGATACTGGTTTGTAAACGAGACTGTGTTTTGTTGTACAAATTGTTTGGTTTCCTACATACTTGACTGTTTGTAACCTGTGACTTTTATAAAACGGAAAACTTTTATTTGGTGAGGTACTGTTGTAATGGACTGAGGGTGAGGGATGTTCTTACTGACCTGGGTCTGCATGAATCTGACATTTCCACCAATGGAAAAAAATGACGAGCACTGCAGCTAAGAGCTTTTTAATGCCTGGGTTTCTCTTGTGATGGCGAAGGCTCACATCAACCACTGTCTGTAATTTGACAAGCAAAGCCTGTGTGAGAAAGTGCTAATGACAGGGGCAGCAACGAGACCAGGGACAGAATGAAATCCAAGCTGTGACCTTCCTGTCCACTTGATATCCCAAGGCCTAGTGATGCCTTCCTCTTCACCAGTGAGAACAAGCCGCCGTGTTGTGGGTTTGTAACTAAGAATGCCTTGTGAGCACTTCTGATTTCATCCAGTCCTGAGCTTTTTAGCGTTTGGCTCCTATCGCGTGAAGCTCGGCGAGCCTGGTGATAACCTGACTGCGCTGGGACTTCCTCACTGGCCTCGCCTCGCGCGGGGATGGCCTTCCACATGCGCACCTCGTGTGTCTCACACCGTGTGAAAAGATGTTTCAGGATTCCTGTGGGTTTTCAGAAAGGGAAAGGATTTCTTTCGTCCACGTGTGACCCAGACAGAGGGAGCGTTGTTTTCTGTGTGTTTCCCAGCCGTACAGGACAAAAAACCAACCGCAGGAAGGCTGCAGGGGGGCACTTATTACTACCGCTCGGAATGAACAGCTGTCGTTTTCCCACCTTTTTTAATCTAGGCTGCCACGTTTTTATTTTGAATTCAGCTTTTGTAAGACGGTTGTTGGTAGTTTGTCCTCCCGGCAGTGTTGTGTGTATTTATATGCCTCCAATCACTTTATCCCCAGAGTTTTGGAGACTGGTGCCCTGCAGTGCCCATGAGCACTGGTTGTGTTTCCTCTGCGTGTCGCCCAGCCGAGGTGGCAGAGAGAGGGGGTCCTGCCCAGCTGATTCAGCCACAGTCACTTTGCACCCCAATGGCAAAATAAGAAATATACTCATTTTCTTGGTGAAATTCTGTAGATGCAGCCCAATACGTGTACTTTTTTCTACACAGACTGTATTAGGTGTTCATTTTTGGATCTCTAACCTGGTCATGTACCCCTGTACTGCGAGGTGCGAAATAACTAAATTGGCTAATGTTACTGTTAATTGAAATGCCTACTTGCCAAAGGCCCCTCTGTCCGTCTGTCCTAGACCTGCAGTTCGAGGTAAAGGGCTGCTTTGGCCTTTCCTAGTGTCCCTTCTCTGAAAACCCCAGGCTACATGACGTTCATCACAACAGCACTTGGACTTTGACATCGATTTTTTTTTTCGGTTTATGTTTAATTTGGAAAGGGATTAAAGCTATGCACAGGAGTCCAAGACTCCCTGACAAAAAGGTTAACACTTTCTAACTTGTACTTTAGATTGAATTAGATTTACAGAGATTTCTATAATTTTCCTTAACTCAATGGATCTATAATGGAATGTATTAAGAGAAATATTTAGATGGCTCTATTTTTGTGATTCTCTAAAAGCATTTTGGTTGGAAATAAAAGTTTATAACAAACATTAAAACATTGCTCCAAAGGCTTCTTTTTGTTGAAACAGGATTTTGGTTTCTCTCTACAGATTTGATTCACTTTAGGTGGAGCACCGTACTGTATTTTAATGAAAAGTATATTTGTATTCTCACATTTGAATGTTTCCTATTTTAGATTGTAACATTACAATAGGAAAAGTTATAAATGTAATATTTTGGGGAAATAAAGTTGTCCTTGGGTACCTCAATGAAGATGCTGGCTTTTTTTTGTTGTTTTTGTAAGCAACTTGATATTGTCTTTTTACATATTGTTTCTAAACTAATACCAAGTGTAAAAAAAGATCCCCTGTTCCAAAGTGTTTCTAGTAAAAGAAGAGCACGCTGCTGACACTTGGGATACTAAGTTATTAGTGAAACTGGAGAAACAATTCTCTTCCCCAGTCTCCAGGGCCTGGTGTTTCCCTATTTGAACAGTTTTCCATTGTTTTTCAACTTGAGAATTTGTCCCATGACTTATTTCTAAAAAAAATAACAACCTAGTTCTGGAGCATTGATAAAAAATTAACTGGATTTAAAAAATCGCGTAACCGCGGGTGAGGAAAATGGTAAAAACTGCAAGTGGAACGAACACCTTCGAGCACAGGTGCGAAGTGCCCATTGTGGCTAATAATCAGCTGCAGTTGTACAAAACCGGCACTTGTTTATTCCATAACAGCAGGTACAGTGTTAGTTGGGTAACTGAAAAAATAACAAGTCCAGAAACTGGTGGGTCCCGTGATGAAGAAAATAAAACTAACCAGCTGTAGACCTGAAAATATAGCAAACAGAAAAGGAAAGTATTAATGGGACCTGGCTAACTCCTGGCTGTAGCCTAACTGACAACTATAAAAGAAACAAACCCAAAATAGGATGGAAAGAAAAACTTAACAAATTTGGAGTAAAAAAAAAAAAATCCAGTTCATGCGAGAGCTTTTGCAAGGCTGCGGCTCGCCATGCGTCTCCTCTGGTCTTGGATCTCATTATCTATGCAGAGGTCAGCTGGAGGACCTCTCCTGGTGTTAATGAGGAACTGACCTCCAGCAATCACCTAGTGGAGAAAAGCCCAGGCTATGATCCCAGCACAGAGGGGGTTAAGGATGATCTGAAGGTGACAGGAACCGTGAGGAACAAGGTTCCACAGACAAAGTTGGGACCCATATTAGTTTGACCATCATTCCTCTCCTGGTAGTCTTCCAGGATGCCAGCCGACTGGGTACTGTGGTGGGCAGCAGGTTCTTTTGGATGTGCTCAAACATGCATCGATCCATAGTGTAGTTTTTCCCATGGGTGGGAAAGCTATCTCTAACTACCTCTATAAACACCCCCTATGTAATTGGCCTTTCCTGTGGCTGATAGAGGCTATGTGTTGAAGTGTCTTGGAGATAAGGACAGGGGGCAGCGCTCCACATTGCAAGACAGGGCTTGCGAAGTTCTCCGCTTCAGAGGGTCTCCTCCTTGATGCACTGGCTCCGGCCCAGCCTCCTCCCTCTCTCCTCTGTGAACTGGTAGCACAGGACGCACCACAGGCTCTCCTCGGGCCTGATCTGCACCCCCTGCGTGCTCCTGAAGGGCCGCAGCGCGCAGGAACCTGGGAGAGAGAGAGAGCACGTGCCTCAGGGCGCTGACCGCACTGGTGCGAGGGCCAGGAACGCCTCACTCCGTCCTCCGCCTGCGAGCACCTCCCTCCCCGAGCGCTGCAGTTCCCCGCTGAGTGGAGAGCTCGGCAGCAGCACCTGCTCTGAGGAAGTGGGGCTGTAATTCCCCTTTAACTGCGCCAATCCCCCGCTTTGTTGGTCAAAGTTTTCAGAAACTGATGATTTGAGGGCGTCCTGGGACCCAGAAGACTCGACGGGTTGTCATCCCAGGGCTGCTCACTCCTGCACCGGGGTAAAAATTCACCAGCACGACTACTGCACCTCACAGCACCCTCTGGTGTGTACTGCATAGGGCCACCCATTGAGTTATATTATTGTTCTAGAAATGACTTGTGAGTTCTGTGTCCCGTTGTAACCTGACTGCAAGACAGTTTGAGGTGGGGGTCACCATGCATGAAGATCCACTTTATAAAATACATCCGGATTGCCTGGCAGGTCGATTACCCAGTATGAAGTACGCAGCAGTGCCGAGGCAGAGGACGATGAGGAAGATGGTCATCGGCCCTACGTCCTCCAGGTTGCAGGAGTTGGGGCAGGCACAGGGGCTCCGGATGAAGATCTCCAGGGCGCGGTTGTGCTCCACAGGCTGGGAGAGGGACACGGAGTGGTTGGGGCTGCAGTGATAGTGCACCACAGTGTGGACCAGGCTGCTGGAAAGGACTTGTTAAAGAACATCGAGGGGATAATTACTCCTTCGCACGGCCTGTACTACTCTCACATCACATTCACGGTGGGCAGCAAGACGTTTCTTTTAGTTCAGACCAGGGCCAAAGCAGAGGCACGCAGCTGTAGCCAATCCCTTTCCACTTACAACGTCACCTCATAGCAAAAAAACAGGAAAAGGTTTCAATTCAATTCAATAAATGTACCTTGACAATACACACTCACACCTGAGGATTACCAAAGATCCTCTTTCAAACTTCCATCTCTTCAAAATGAAATCCCTCATTGATTATGACAGAATTGCTCTCATGTCTGGTTCTTAGCCCTAACCAGCCCTTCACTGACATTTAATTATTTGCAAGCCCGGAAGAAGTTACGTTTTGTGATGAGCTTACATAAAGACGGCGAACCTGGGTATGTAACTGAAAGGGTCCGAGATTGGTTGTCGTATCTGAATTCATTCCCTTCGTGTTGCCCGTAGTTGAAGTAGCGACTCTCGACGCCGCCGCTGCTTGTGTGGTGTCTGGGAGAGAGAATTGAGTTGTCGGGGGGGAAAACAAGGTTTAGGTTGCACCTACCCGTGCCAACCTCATCAGGCATGTCCGCCAGCAGTGACAAGGGCACCTTCGCAGTAACCGTACTGACCTCGACATCGGCAGCCAGTGATTCTTATCGGAGTAGAATACAGTAATATGCTGCTATAATAAGGAATTTGTTTTTAAATCATAACAGTTTACTGCAGTATTTGCTCTGAGCATCCGTAAGGTTTGTTTGCTCCCAGTCCTAACAACACCGTTTCGCACTTGGACTACAGTCTCTCCCCACTCCCCTCCGCCCCGCAAGCAGGCGCTGACCCTACCTCACGACCACGCAGGCGGCCACCTCCAGGCACTGGGTGCCGGGAACCTCAGCGGGCTCGGAGAAGGGCGAGCAGGGGCTGAACGACACCAGCACCTCGTCCGCCCCCGCCGGCTCGGCTCTGTAGCGCTGCGGGAGCCCGGCCGAGCCGCCCAGCGCCGCCAGGTTAATGACGCCCGAGCCGTCCTTCAGGAGACACTTGCAGTGGCTCACCTTGAGGCACCCCGGCTTCTTATTCAGGGGTGGAGGAGACGCAGAGGGGAGAATAAAACACAGGGCAAGGAGAAGGATGAATTTGCAGACCTCCATCCCGCTGGGGTGTTCCTGGAGTACGGCGCTGCGTGCCTCTCCCGGGGTTCTCATTAGTAACTCTCCTCTGACAGCTGTGGCAGCTCCATGAGACCGAGGAAAGCAATTACAATGTCACCACCAGATTCCAGGGGTCTGACGCAGCCTGGGCCAGCCGGCGTTGCAAGAGCTGCATTTGGGGATGGCGAGAGATTTATTCTTCTTCTTATAGAACCAGTGTCAAAATTATCTTTGAGATATTCCGATTTCGCTCTAAGCAGTGATAAAAGTTGAGTCACCCACTGGAATAGGACCACGTTTACGCTCGTACAACTTTTGGCGATTTAATTTAATACCCCGGGAGCTCAGGAGCGGAACACGGAAAGAAAAGAAAATTCGTAGCTGCATCTGAAGAACTTACCACGACGCGCTCTCTAGCTCATAGTGAGACACATTTTATATTGCAAGGCTGGAGCTCATTTAAATATTTATTTTAAGAGAAATTATTTAAACGCGCATCAGCGTAACAAGACAACGAGAACATTAACAAAATCAAATCTATATATTAATATTCAGAGCAGAAAGTGTATTAGATTTTTGGATGCAACAAAACTGCACCTAAACTATCAATATTATGCTATATACCACACAGTTTATGAATGGCACAGTAGCAGAACAGGCCAGTATGTGGCATACTGTATAGAATTAACAGTACAGGTGCACCTTTGTTGCCACCTAGTGTTTTTTCGCATCATCTGTGAAATTTCGAGTTAATTAATATTCTGAATACCTGTTATATCCGTTCGCATGTAATACTTTCTTCACTGATTTGAATGATTGCACGCAGGAAAGGCTATAGCGAACTCGCAAGCAAAATACCCGTCATCTACAGTAATCCGATCTTTTCAAAGTTAGTAACATCGCAGGAAACTACATTTCCCATAATTCTTCAAATTTTTGATTGGAAGATTTAGGGACCAATCAGAATTCACCGGAAGTTGGAAGCTCCACGATTTCGTAGAAGGAAGGAAAGTACCGAGTGCAATATGGTGAGTTGGACTTATACATGTTCGATTTCTGTAGCTATAATAAATATTCCTTTGTAATTTGTGAAGCCTGGTTAATGCTTTATTTAGTGCAATGACTTATGCTTATAAGGCGTTATCTGAGCTGCATTATTGTATCAGCTTTCATAGGATTTGAATGAATTGGCAACTCGGAAAGACAGGTACATATTTAACGAGATAATATATACTCTTACAAACAGAAACTGTAGCTTTGGCAAGAAATGACGAATTCGCTTTGAAGTGTAGTGTGTATTGTATTCAGTATAAAGTTATGCTATGTGTGGGGTTTAGTAAGATACAGTCAACATATCAACCCGTAAAATCTGTGCGTGGATATAACATCTTCGGGGTTAGAGGACAGTTAATCCAAGTAAGCACCTGTGTCGGGGTTTTTGCAGTTGCACAGTCACCTTGCGACAGCAGAACGAAACGCCCAGTGTGATTATCGGTGCTATCGGTTAACATTTCTTTTCCACGGCTTTGCTAGGCTACAGGAGCGGATCAGGCGGTTGGGATGGGCATCGTGAGCTTCAGCCTGCTGCTCTTCACCTATTACACCGTCTGGGTTATAATCTTGGTGGGTATTCACCTCTCTTGCTTCATGTGGATTTTGATCCTCTGGCTGTTTTCCCCAGTGACACAATAGCAGTCTTTGACACGTTTTATAGGGTATATAAGGTGTATACAGTACATATCAATGTATCTTGTTTGCCCCTGAGACTCGCAGACAGGTCTTCATGCCAACTGCTCATGTCCCATTCCTCTCTTCCCCTTTGAAAACATGGGAATGTCGTCTTCAGTTCTGCAGTGGCTTCGCACTTTCACTTTGGCATTTGTTTAGGAATAGCAAAGTACAGCATTGAATAAAGATCTCTTGAAGAAACGCTGCTGTGTACAGTACAGGATCAGATAAGACAGCTGAGACACTTGTCAGACCTTTAGAGATAAAGAATTTCAACCATTTTAAAATATTTGAAAATTCCTCCCAGATGGAGATTTAGTGATGAAGGAGGAGGAGATGCCTGGGGATGTGGGGACATGTGGTAACCCTGGTCTGGTTGTTGTTTTGCAGCCCTTTGTGGACAGTGACCACGTGATGCACCAGTATTTTCTCCCCCGGGAGTATTCTGTCATATTGCCTGGCGTTGCAGCTTTGATTCTGCTGCTCTTTGTAGGTAGGTGTGTTTCTCTTGCATGGAGGGGATTTACAGTCACTTAACATATCGGCAGCCTGTGCTTATTTTCCCACAAATCAAGGTTTCAGATTGAGGGTGAGCATTTATTAACCTTTTCCAACCTTCGTGAACGTCTCAGCTTGAAGGTGGTTGTTATCATAGCCAGTTCTCTATGACAAACACGAGCTCATGTACTACAATGACCAGAGAACGCAAGACCATTGAACTGATTCACGAATCGCACTCGTTTGTTTCTTGAAAGCATTTACTTCTTTGCTTTGAGGTCTCTCACCTCTTCTCCTTCTGTTTTGGAGTCTTTAAGGCCACGAGTGTGGCTGTGATGATTCACTCAGACATTGTTTTTGTGAAACTGTCTGTTGTTGTTGCTGGTCTGGGTAGACATGGCTACAACATCTGCAGTGCATGAGTCACACTTGCACACTTATTTTTACATTTTGGTAAGAGGTCCCGGATTTGAAGAGAGTTCGTTTGTCTTTGGCCTTCTGTTTCTTTCTGAAGAGAATAACTATGTCTTCTTTTATATTCAGGAACCTTTATCGGCATAGTAACCTGGAAGAACAGGAAACCAAAGAAGTCAGAGTGAAAAGAGCAGCTCGTTCACAAGCATCCAGGAGTCCAACCCCCATGAGTGAGATCAGCTCCTGTGTGAACCGATGAACGAATCCCTTTTCCTTCACATTGCAGAGCACTTTGGACATTCTGTGGGCAAGTCTGAAAAGCGGGCTGCACTGCAGTTTGAGCCATTTCAGAGTCACCTGTGCTGACGTCTCAAGGGTTGAATTAAGGGTAAATCCGAGCGGACGGGGGCTTGTGAGGTTACACCCACAGTGGAGCAGAAATGGAATTTGCTGTGCAGGTCACAGACCGCCCTCTTCCCCCAGGCAAACGTTCGAGGTGCTGCAGAGAAGAATATCGTCCTTGCGCACTCCGCACACCCTTAATGACTGCATGGCTGTAAGCACTTTGTCGCAAAAACCCAGAGGGGCCGGCTTGTAATCCACAGAGTCGCTCCCAGATGAGAGCCAGATGACTCATGTAACCCGTTTCCGTCACTGAATTGAAGGGATACAGTTTTTTTAAAAAGCACGATGGAAGTTCTTAATGTTGCCACTAAAGGGTCTAACATTACATCTAAAATGCTTTACCTGCAAGTTTTATTTTAAAAACATTGCGTCAATGAAACTCCATACTAGTTTTGTGGTGGCTACAGGAAGATGAAATTAATTCCCATGTAATATCAGTGCCCCCTTTGCATTGCAGACAAGCTTGTATATATTTATGTACAGTATGCAGTAAAATTGTGATGTCTATTTAATTACACTTGTAGGCAGCTTTTGTCCTGTAACGTACCTCCATCTGTAAAATGCTGTGACTACCCTTCCAAAAAAAAAAAAACAATGACATCTTGGTTCACAAAACTGCCTTCTTATCTTTTTTTAACAAAAATCACAAATGCATGAATTGTGATGCCTGCACACATTTCAAATGTGAGTGCAGGTATTGACCTTCTCGTACTTTTTGATTTATACACCTTGCGCCTTGTAAGACTGTGTGTTTAGTCCTTAAAATATGAAGTGTATGTAAAAAAACACACATGCTTCAAGGCTGACTAAAGACCCAGCATGTTAAAGTTGATTTCAGTGGATGGAGGGATGGTGTGTTTAATGTACTGTTGTGCTCCAAAGTTCATACCTAAGGCTCTGAGATGCATATTTTTTAGATAAGTGATTGGTGGTTTTAACACCATCTTTCCTCTCCAATGGAAACAGCATTATCGTGGCTGCTGGTGAGCTTCTGTTGGTGCAGTGTACCCACTGTTGTCTCCGAGTTCCAGTCTGTAAAACCTTGAATGGAGGTGATCACCGAGTGAGAGACTGTTATACGCATCAAAATTAAACTCGCATCTTCCTTTTGCAGCTCCAGAGCACGCAATCCCAAAAGCACGGTGGTTCTAGGGCGCTGTGATATTTTCTGTAAGATTAAAATGTTAATATGGGCTCTCGTGGTTGAATCTTGTGTTTTGCAATAAAATATTAACTTCAGAGTAACTCGTTAAACTTCTGAACAATGTTAAAGCAGGCATACGAAATACTTAGAACTGTTAAAAGCAACACGTGAAAATGAGCTCTTGCAGCTTTTCTTCAGCTAAAGAGAAAGTCCTCATATGAGAGACCTTTGCAAACGAGCTGTCATTTGAACGGGAATTCGCCGACTCTCTAGAGATTATATCGCCATATGCCCGACGCCTGCGACTTCTGTAGAAGGCCAAAACCTCACTAGAGAGTGCAATACAGTAGCGTTCGCCAGCCTGGGTAATTGTTGCTTAATCCGTGTGTGTGTGAGAGAGAGAGAGACAGTGTATATATATATAATGAACAAGTAATAGGTTTATTCCATGCTGAAAAAAAAAAGAAGGAGAACACAACGTTTCGGCCGTGAAGCCTTCTTCAGGTACTTTTTTTCAGCATGGAATAAACCTATTACTTGTTCCTTTGCAGCCTACGCATGCTGACGCAGCTCCCCACCTGAACCATATATATATATAAGGTTCCGCTAATTATGCTGTTTGATTATACCGCTCGAGGAGTGTAAATTGTAAATTGGAGGGGTCCCCCTATGCTGGCAATTCCTGGCAACGCCCCTGCGTTCAAGAGTATTGAAAACGTATTGTTAATAGGTTTGACTTTCCTGCTCCGGGAATGCGCAAGGTTGTCGCTCAATTGGCTCTCCTCTCCAGCTGCCGCAGGGGGTCGGGGGGTCACGCTCGCCCAGGAAGCTCGGCTCGGCTGTAACCCAGCAACTGCGCCCCTGCGTTAACAAGACACACATGACCGAAAAAAAAAACGTTTGTTTGTTCTGTTGCAAATCCATTTTTTTTTTTGCAGTTTTGTTAACCCACTTTCGGGAAATGCGAGTATGTATTAACGACTGATACCTTGAACAACTGGTGCAAAAAAGTTCAGGATTACAACGAGCATGCCTTTTTTATTATAGCGGTTATTTCCATATGGTTTACATAAATGGCAGGCCCACCTTGGCTAAGACGATCGCGACTTTAGACTGTCGCACTTTCTAAACTTGTTAACACACCTGGTGTGCGTCCGGGCTGCGATTCATCTTAAATTCCGTCAGTGCTGAATAGTAGGGATGTCATCGGCTTCACTCTGCTACCAAATTAGTCGCTTTAGCCTGAAAATGCATAGGATGTGTGCGAGATGATCGGCCCATCGCGAACTCCGCAACAGCGGGGAAAGTCTTAGAAATTTCTTCTCGAAACTGCGAGACAAGTCTCCTGTAAGAATGATGGTGATAAGTATTATAAGGGGCTACTGAACAGTTGATGCAGAGATGCCTGACCATGTTTTAATATTAATTAAAAGCACCTCGCTTTATATAGTTACATTTAAGCACTGAATATAATCATTATTTCCGGAATGTATTTTTCCTGAAATGTAAAGTATTAAAGGTATACTGCAGACGTAGTTTATAGTTTTAATACTGTAAGTAGTGTATGTCACTTTCATCCAAGTTTTTAATACTAAAAAATATTGCAAAGATTGAGGATAAACGCGGGTGAATACAGCCATTTAAGATGCAATGTATCGGCACGAATTTCTGTGCACGTTCAGAATTTTGTATCGACTTAAGCTTATCTTAATTTTGCCTATTTTAATGGAGTTTTGCATATCGTCAGGGCAACTCTGTTTCTAACTACCTTTCCGTATTTAATCCGAAGTTTATCGTTGAAGCAGATAGGATGTCAATACGTGAAGACGAGCCGGCTCCGTACTCCGGCAGTTTCGCCGACGCAGATAAGGCACCGCGCTAGAGCACCGTATGTTCTCAAGTTTGCATATCCTGGTGAGTCGCGGCGTTGTCGGACCGTCCCTCCTAAACTAACGTTAGTCACTCCAATATTAGTGGATAATTAGGGTCTGTGCAACCACAGGGTGGGTACATTTGCTTGCATTCTGTGTATCAATGTTTAATTGGTGTGGAGGCTACACGCATATCGACAAGCCAATTAACAAGGACTTCATCACCGTATATCTTAAACAGCATGTATAAACAGTATTTCTGATCTAATGTCAGTTAAAGGTTAATGACGAAGAATATGTGATCTCTTAAACTAAAGTCTCTGAAATCACGTTAATCAGTGCACGATCAGCGGTGTTCGGGGTCTGTGAAGTTGGTAGTAGTGAGCCCAGAGTCGATCAAGATAAATCTTTCTTTACTGCCCATAACATACCCGGCTTGCTGTTAGCCCTCTCCTGCCTTCGGGCGTGTTTCACGTGTGCAATGCGGGCGATCCTAAGGTTTTGGACGGCTGCTGACGCCGTTACAACGCTGCAACGAATATTGGTTTTCAAACTCAAACACGGGGCTGAAATTGCGTTTTCCCACATATGGGGGAAAAAAAAAACTTTAATGCACTTTCATGTACTCGTGTCTATTACTGTACGTTTTCAAGTGGTCTTTCGTGCCATACCGTACTAATGTATGCTACAAAATGCAACGGCCAAAAGCCGTCATTGTCAAAATGCTTGGTGTGTTTTTTCCAATGAAGCTATATGGCTTCAGCCCAAGTCCTGTTCGCAAGGTGCATGAAGAAGAACCTGTTAGTATCGATGCCCACATTATTTGCTCTCTCTCTCACGAGATCCGTGCTCCCGAAGCTAACGCAAAGCAACACCTCTTTATCCGCAGTGCTGTCAATAACACAGTAGCGCGGCTGGGTCACGCCTGCGAGTTCAGCAGCGCTCTTCCCGAACTGCCGCGGCTGCGCCCGCCACAGTTCCCTTGTCTAAAGCAGAGCTCTCACTATTTCACGACAATACTTCGCGCCGATGTGCCTCGGAAAGCAGCCGTAGCGCTCCGTGTCACAAACCGGGGCTTGTCTCTGCTCTCCCGTGCAGTGGACGCGCCCGCTCGGCGCCCGGTGTTTGTCTGGAGAGCTTTGACTCAGCCGGCGCGGAGCCGCGCTGACGCGCTGTGGTGGCGAAGACAGCAGCGCAGGCGATATCGCTCGGCAGTGGCTTTAAATGAGCTGATGTGGGCTGGGCAGAATCCCACCGTGCCCTGTGACTGACACTTGGCGATGCCGTCTGAGCGTGGGCAGCGAGCTGGGACTCACCTGCGCTTGAATGACTAGCCAAAGTGAGGTATGTGCGCGCCTGTCAACTCTTGCCGGGATCTGTCATTTTAAAAAATTGAATTTATGACATCTAACGTGTATTTCACAATTAATATTCCAATTGTTTTACTCTTTCGGTACGTTTCCAGTTTCATATTTACTGTACATTTCCCTCCATCGCGTAATGGGTTTTTAATCTTTCTTTGCCGGACAGCTTTTTAATGCTTACTTTAATAGGTCCTGGTTTTCGGTGTTCTTTCGGAAAACAGCGTTTCATGTGTGCAAATAAAAATGTAAAACATACGTTGCATTCACGTCTGTCAGTAAAGTGTATTCGCTAAGTAGAGAATCTGACATCTGTGTCGAGGCTGTGCTCAGTACCGATCAGGCGTGGAGCGCGTTCAGGAAGCGTCCGGGCAGGCTGGGTGATAACGGGCAACATGATGAGGTTCGCTGTCCAGTGGGGTGGGATGTCCAGTACTGTACCATTCAGTGGACATGTCCGGGACTCCCAGTGTGTGCAGAGCGCGCTGGCGGCAGCCCCCAGCCTCGGACACGGCTTTTCGACTCGCAGAGTCCGGTCAGAGCCGTGCCGCCCGGTGTTCGTGCACCGCTCCGGCCAGGGCTTGTTCAGCAGCGGGGGGAGGTGGAGCCCGGGACTGGCTGCACATTGCTGCGGTTTAAAGCGCAAGCAGTCCAGTTTCTAAATGGCTGGATTGGAAACTTGTAAAGCCACCAGATTGGCAAGGAAACAAAAACAAAACAAAAGCAAAACTTATTGAGCTGTTAAAATGGACAATTAAGCCCGAGGCTGGTTGATGCAGACTCGCTGCTTCTATAACTGGTAACAGCAGGACGTGCTGGTTTCCCTGCCTGCGCTCTATTACTTGTTTTAAGAAGTCAACAGCTGTTCATTCAACCTGCGGTTGTTGCATTCAGAAAAGCGGCAAAAAGACAAGCTTTCTCTCGCTGCTTTGGATGTTCCAGCCCTGTTTATAGACAGTACGATGCCCTAGTGGAGACTCTGATGGAGGCCAGGGACACGTGTCACAAACCGTGTAAATGGGATGGTGCCCCCTGGCACCCGAGTACATTTCACAGAGGGGTGATGGACTGAAAAGATAGGGCAGCCAAAAACTACTACTTTTTATCTCTTCCCTCCAGCAAATAAAGTACCCCTCTTCTTCTGTACCCTACAAATGCAGGAAAAAGCTATCTAACTAGGCAGCCAGAGACAACTCAGAGTTCAGCGTTCCCTGAAGATCTTCTGTTGGGTTATTCCGAGACACGGACAGAAGCTGTTCCTCCCACTAGCTGTTCTAAGTTCCCTGCGCTGTGCCGGAACTCCCAGGTTTTCCTTTTAATTGCCTCTTGCAGAGCCGTCTGAATAAAAGTCTGTGCGTTGGCACCTGCTGGCAGTGGCTGGTGCAAATGGACAGGGGGATGGTGTGTTTAATTTAAGGTTCATACCTAGGACTCGGAGGTGAAGATTTCGGAGTGAGATTTGAGATAAGTAAGTGGTGGAGTAAACACTAACTTTCCCCTCCAACGGAAACAGCAGCATAGCCTCTGCTGGGGAGGGATCGGCAAAATTCAGCCGTTAGAAAGTGAATGGAAGGACAGAAGCACGCTGTGCGCATCAGTATACAACTGTCCGGTGTAAATGAACAGTGTAAATATCTTCCCAGTGGTCCATTAGGGACGTGTGCCGATTTTCAGTTCCTGCAGTACTTTCACAAGAGGGTTGTTTGAATAGGCCGGTCTTCTGCAAATAGCACACATCGTCCAGGAGCCCTGAGCTGGAGTGTGAGTGCAGGCCCGGTGCTGGCCTCCCCCTGCAGTAACGCACGCGTGTGTGTGTGTGTGTGTCTGGATCAGATGGAGGCGCCGCGCCGCTCGCGCACGGTGAGGAGGAGGCTGCTCTGGCGTCTGCGGCAGCAGTGGAAGCTCCTGGGGCTGTTCGAGATCGACCAGGAGCACGAGTTCTACGCCCTCACCTGCATGATGAAGGAGGGCCTGTCTGCTGCCGTGCAGAACACCATCGACAACCCGCCCCTGGTGAGAGACCACTCATTGATCACCCTTCTGGGCACGCCCCTCCGCAGCGAACCAGCCCTCGCCATGCGCTTGCTGTGCTGTGCAGTCCTGTGACAAACCCTTGACTTTCTCAAACTTCGGTAAGGCCTCTCCCACGACCGGGAGAATGGGACCAGTGTCCTGATCTGACCGGCTGCAGCACCTCGGCACACGGAGCTGCAGGGTCTGAAGGACAGGATGGTGGCTTGGTAGGGTCTCACTCCTTTATCTCCGTCATCCTTGGGACCATTAGAAAGGTTACAAGCAGGAGAGGTTTGTTCGGTCCGTGTTTTCCCATCGTTCGCAAGCAGCTGATTTTTTCGAGACTGCAGCTTGAAGGGAATCATCTTCCTCATGATCAGAATGTGGTCAGCTCCCTGCATGCATTTGTTTTTTTTTTTGTTATGACTGACTATGAACCGACTACTGTTGCATTTTGAGCCGAGATAATCTCATCCCCTAGAGCGTGTGTCAGTTGTTTTCATGAAAAGGTGCAACTGTTGAACTGTAAGATCGTTGCAAGGTAAATCTGCGTACTTTTCATCAGTGTTTGATTGCACAGCAGTATAGAAAGAGTCTCTGTGTTACGCCTGTGTGATTCATTTAGGTATGAAACAGTTTCCAATACAAGGGCCTTCAGAGACGGACTGTAATAGTGCAGCTGGAGATGAGATGTTTGCATTGTGTAGCATGCTAATAAGGCAGGGCTTCTGGGCTCCGAGCATGGAAACCAGCACTCGGAGCACCCCCAGAGACCACGTGAGGCCAAACAAATGCTATTGTTATCTGAAGTCTTAGGCCCGTCTCCCTCCTGGAGGGATAAACACCTTGCTCAGAAGGAAGGGCATCCAGTCCACCTGCAGGAGGCTAGATCTGTCAGAGAAAACACGAGGAAAACCTTCTTAACTGCTCCCCTGACAGAATGGTGTACCTTGTTAGGGTTCTTTCCTGAAACCTATCTTCATCATGGCCCCCACCCAGCTAAGTCAGATTAAGGTTTACTATCTTTTACTTGTTGTAGTCTCCAAGATTTATTTTATTTTTGCAATCTGTTTATGCTTTACAACAATTGTTTTCCACACAGATGGGCAAGTTAGCAACACAGATGCAAATGTTTTTATGCTGTAGTTTTGCTCTCCATGCTAAAATAAATGCATATTTTCTTGCTACAGTAAGTACTAAATGACCAAATCAGACCGAATGACCTTCGTAGCCATGCTTATGTTGTGATGCTCTGTCCAGTTGAGAAAGGTAGACTTCTCCGGGACTTAATACCAAGCATTCTTCCTGCATCACAGGCTGAGAGAGAATCTTTAACACAGTTCTTCAATTTAGCCTTCGAATCCACTTTAGACTTTTGGCCTGTCCTTCAAACCTGGGAATCTATGCTGGGATTCCTTCTCTTTCCGTTTGTGATAAACTACTGAAGAGTTTTTTAACTACTCCTTCTTTTTTGGAGTGCAGTCAGCAAGGCCTGTTCAATGACTGAATCATCCAACTACGGGGCCGTCACTGTTTCTGGATTATTTCACACAAGTACAGTGTTCCTCCTTTGTGTCAATTGGCCTCACTGCACTTGAAAAGCTTCACTGCTAAGAAAAAAGGGGACATTTCAAATTTTTTTAGTTCAATGTAGTCTTTTAAGTTTATTTTTGATTGATTTTTATTTTAAAAAAGTTAGTCAGTTAATATCAGCAAAACTAGCTCAGTAAAGTGACAGCTTTTTTTTGTTATTGAGATGTGTAAAATATAGAACACTTAAAAGAAAATGTATTTGTTATTTTTATAAGTTGCTTTTGGATAACAGTTTCAGCCAGATAAATTAGCTCTTAAGTATTTATTGCTGAAATAAAAATGCAGAATAAAACTGAAAGCCATCAGTTATGAATTAATAATGCTGAACCTCATTCAGAAGCGTCGTTGAAAGCTCAGTGCATGAATATCTCATCTGGGAGAAATCTCTGTTGCTCATGTACTCACACACAGGAGTACAAACTGGCTCTGGCAAGCAAGAGGACCCTGCTTGCAAAGCTTAAGAAGTGAGTTCCTTGTTTGTCCTGACTTGATGATACAGCAGAAGTGCAAATTTACAGTAGAACCTGCCCCTCTGGGGTAGCAAAGAAAGCCTTCTGTGATAAACCCTCCTATTTGTGACCCAGCCAGACTCGTTGACTGCATGATCAACGTTTAACCCTTTTAAGTTAGTGGTCCCCTTGGTCTTCCATGGAAGGGCTCATAGGTGCTTCGATTGCCAGCTGCTCTCTGCTTGAGTGGGAGGGCATAGTGGTTCAGTCACACAAATAATTTATTCACAGAAGCCACTGAGAGTCCAGCAGGAATGCAAAGCAGCCCCTGGTGATGAGAGCTGATCAGACTGTCTTTATGTCACATGCCTCCTGTGTGTTTTTGACCAGCTTTGTTTAGAGGACCGTTTCACTACATTTCTTTTCTGTTCATTTTAATGAACCAGGGTTTTAACGAATCTTTTGCAGAATGAATTGCAGAGTCCTGTTTGAAGTGATCTCTAACCATATACTGTTTACTGCTAGATGTCCAGAATGATCATTAAGATAGGCTCACATGAGATGCACTTTGTTCTTTTATTCAGAATGATACTCCTGCAGGCTCTTTGCACTTCTCAAAGCTGATGGGAAATGAGCTGTGAGAGAGAATGTAATGGCATATAGAACAGAGCTGCTAATCAGCATTGCAAACGAAGAGCACCGCGGTTCTTGAGTGACAGAATAATTAGGTTTTCAGCCTTTTTCTATCCAGAAGAGGTATGGCTGGTCTTTAAACTTGGCAGATTTGATTAGTGAGGGTTTGGATTTTCTTATTGAAAATTCCCTAGGGCTGCTGCTCTGGACTCTTTTTAAAGATAAGATCACTTTATTGGCCATATACAGTTTCTTGAGTTAGGAATCTGTCTTTTTGCTTTCCCCAACTTGTTATCCATGAGACACACAGACAGGGAGAGAAGCTGGGGGTGAGAACGCAGGGTCGCCATTTATACGGCACCCCTGGAACAGTTGGGGTTAAGGGCCTTGCTCAGGGGCCCAACAGAGTAGGATTCCTCTGCGGGATACAAACCAGCAACCTTCCAGCCACAGGTGCAGATCCTGAGCCACAGGGCCACCGCTCCATCAGAAAGTAACACGCTTTTGGTGTTACTAATGTTCCAGGCTCTCGTCTTGTGGGGCAGGACAGATAGCATGCCAAAGGTGAAGTGTGAAGAAATACCGTAGTATGACAGCGTTTACTGTGTATATATATAGCTTGTGTGTGTCCTGAAATTTTCACTGGGAAGTGATCACATCTGCTGCATCCAACAGGGCAGATTGGTTATGAATGAGAGATCACATGAGAATAATACACGCTCATGTGCTTCTGAACAGTTAAGTCCTATTGTGGTGCAGCAGGCTGACTCAGCGTGTGGGTCAAAGAGAGCCTGGTGGCCTTTCTGACTCACACTGTCCCATTCCCTGCCCTCACCCAGTCGCCATCATAATACTGAGTGTGGAAACAGAAACATATTCAAACAGTTACAAGCGCGGGGAGACTATCCAGCTCGTTTGGTAGTTAGCAGCTAATTGATCTGAGGATCTCATCCAGTCATTTCTGGAAAGAAGCCAGGGTACCGTCATTTTAAACTACACGGCTGGGTTAAAAACTCTTGGGATGGTTCTCTGTTATTTATTGAGTTTTATATAGAAGAATCTTCTACAAGAGAGAACTGAGGAAGTTTTGCAAGTTCCTTTGACAGTCAGATTCAAAATTTAATATACTGTTTTATCATTCTTTTGGTTGTCTTGATTCCTTTGGAATATGTAATTGTGCCCTGACAGAATAACAGAATAACACAATGCAGTCAAATAACTGCAGACTGACAATTTCATGTGTTTCAATGATAACAAAGAGTATTATGATTTACTATTTTCACAACTTTCCAGGCTACGTGGGGAAAATGCAGTTGTATTCATGAGAATAAAAAATGAATCAGCTGAGTATTCTGATAGGCCTGAGTACTGATATCTTTAACCCCAGCACATTGTTCTCTTTGAAGTGTCATTTGAAACCCTGGAGGTTTGAATCTGTACAGTAGTTGGTTCAAGTACCCATACTGTATAAACTTAAATTGTATTATTCTATGGAAAAGTCCTCTGGGATAATTGTGTATCCCTGCTTAAGGTACTTTGTAATATAATGTCTTGAAATTATTTTAGCAATCTAAAAATGCTGTCACGTTATTATCATCTCCATCAATAATAATATTTTAGTACTTTCTATTTGAATGATAAAAACAAGGAGAACGCTTATAACTCATTTTGTATTTTAGTGAAGGAACACTGACTTCTTCAACATAAGCAGACTTAAATTTCCTCCCAGTCATACAGCTGGGTATGTTCCTGGAGCAAGGCCAGTGGAGCACTGTGCTCAGAGGTGTGACAGCAGAGGTTCACCAGGGATTTGAACCCACGCCTTTCAGTTAGGAGGCTAGAAACCTGGCCAGTATGCCACACTGCTGCTGCTCTGCTGGTTATCTCACACGAAGCACCAAACACTCCTCTTTAGACCACAGCTTTCCAGTTCGCTGCAAATCAATGAAGTTGCCGAACTGCAGGATCAGTATGGCCACTATCTGAGTCAGCATAGGTGGCCACTTCTCCCATTCAGCTGTTTTTTTTAAATCTGTCTGTGTGCGCGTGTGTGTGTGGGGGGGTACAGTCTTTTCAATGTAAGTCTGCTACAGAATTTCCTATTTCTGTTCCTTCCTTAGGATGAACTTAGTGAAGATGATTTTAAAGTAGAAGTCACTCAGGTGCATAAGGTGAGTATTCTGACTGTACTACTTGAGTTTGTGACATCCTGTCCTTTTTGTGATTGTTGTATTAGTACAGCATTATTCCTAACCTTAAAGTGTAATGACTGTGTCTATTTTGGAAACAAGTTTATTCATAAATTACTGAATACAGTTATAATGAAGTTCTAGGTTATTGATCAGTGATACCTCTTTTAGGCTTATTAGATGGTAACAAAGGTTCTAGTGAATAGACCAATTTCAGAAAGAGGATGCTGATATTTATCTCTAGCACTGTTTAGGCTTTAGTTAATGAATTTTTAATTAAAAAAACATGGTAAAGGATTCATCAATATTATTTTACCTTTTTAAACTACAACAATATATTTATATATAGAGATTCTCAATAAATTCAAATGCATTTTATAATTGTAACGGCCTGCTTTCATCTGGAGTGGGAGAAAGCAAAAGAGAAGTTTCAGATCTTGACTGTGTGCATGTGGGAATTATCTGGGCCGATGGTATGGGCTTGCAATTCACCAGTCATTCATAATGAATAAGAAGGAAAAGCTTCTGTTCCTGTCTTAAAGGGGAGTGATATCTCCTTGTGAGGAGATGCCTTTGGACAAAATCATTAAATCTTAACACAGATGAAATATTAATGTGAAATTTAATAAACCATAGGAAAAGTCATAAAAATCAGTGTTGCTTTGCCCTAGAAAAGAAGGCATTTATACATACACTCTTTCTCCCTGTGCAATCTTGTGTGCATATCAAATCAGCTGACTGTGTGCCTGTGCCCTCAGGGCTTTAAGATGCAGACGTTCGCAGGGCCAGTGTTTGCCAGTCTGCGCCGCTCGCTGGGGATGTCAGAGAAGGAGTACCAGAGCTCCCTCTCCTCCGAAGGCTTCTACCTGCAGTTCATCAGCAACTCCAAGAGCAAAGCTGATTTCTTCCTCACGTGAGTTCTGCGCCCACACTGGCTACAGCCCCGCTGTCTTTCCCAGTGTCAGTCTGCGATGGCGCGGGTGAGCAGGGGGGTTCCATTGACCCGGTCTGGGGTACTTCAAGCGGTAGAGAGTAGCGTATATCCTGAGGACCAGGAAGGCTGACGGTTTAAAAGCTCTGCAAATCAGAAAGAGATCAGATCAGGCAGTTCAAATTGCAACAGAGAAGCTTCAAAACGGCAAAAATGGAGCTCACTTCCCTAGGCTTGTGGTTGAAAGTGGACTCATCTGGAGGATGAGCTTCTTATACTTATTGTATAAGGCTACCCCCCGATTACTCTAAAGCTTTAACCTGTCTGAAAGAGTTGGACTGCTTCTTTTGCAGAAGTGCAGTTGTCCCACCCACATCAGTCTGTCTGGGTCATGTGGTTGCTAGTGTCTTGCTGTACCAGTGATTGCTCCAGGCATTTCCTGTTAGTATCCTGGGGAATCGCCCTCAAACAACTATATGATTGTGCTCCTAGCACCTTCACAAGATCATGCTAGACAGAAGGTAGGCAGAAGATGAAAAAGAAGGTCAGACTGGCTCAATTTATCTTTAGGTTTTCATTTATGGTACAGAGAACAGGTTTCATGTAATGGCTCTTCCATGCGATGTGGGCCATCCTGAGGTGGTGAGGCTTTGTTGCTTCTTCTCCAGGAACGACAAGAAGTTTTTCCTGAAAACGCAGAACAAGCGGGAAGCGAAGTTCCTCCTGTCCAACCTGAAGATTTACATGCAGCACCTGGAAAATTACCCTCACTCGCTGCTGGTGAAGTTCCTGGGTGGGTCCGAGCGTCTCCTGCTCGCTGCAGGCTGTGGATGGGTGTGAAAGTAAAACAGATGGAGCTCAAAGGAAAGAACTGAAGCGGAGCATTGTAAATATTATAGTTAGCACCCCCCGTAACAGTGGAGCTATCTCATTTTTCTGATCCCTATTAGAATTTGGTTGTTTATAACAGCATTAGGGCCCTACATGATGGACAGGATCAAACCTCTTGATGCAGATGTGCTCTGTTTGGCCTTTGGTAATTTTTTACGGTAGACTTTTTCCGTCAAGGCTGTGCATGTTATGATGAGAACCACCTCTGTGCTTCAGAGTTTCTTAGTGTCAGGGTCCGGAAGCTGAATGAGATCGTAGGTCATGTGCAATATCCAAAAAAGTTAAAAGTGGCTGTTAGCATTGAGACTGCAGTGTTTGTGTTTCATTTTCAATAGTGCAGAGCTCTGTGTGTGCTGTCTGGTGTGGAGTATCTCTCTCTTGCCTTTTTGTCCTGGGCTTAAGATGATATGAATGTGTTTTTTTACCTAGGGGTCCATAGAATCAAAATCCCTCATCAGAGCAAGGTAATGTTTAAAAACATTTCTTCTTCAATGTAAACCACACATGAAGTGTGAGAGATAGTTGACTGAGCTTGTGTTTATTGGATATGTGTTGCTGTTTTCAGAAATACTTCATTGTGATGCAGAGCGTGTTTTACCCTGATGAGAGAATAGAGGCACGGTAAGGCACTTACCACAACATGAACATATCCTAGGTCCTTGTAGCATCCTGCAGTGGAATTTGGTGCTTCAGAGGGGGTGTAGATGTTTCTTTTTCTGCCACCTGCTCAGGACCTGTGCAGCTCTCCCTGCAGGCTCACAAGAAATCACAGGGGTCACTGCGGACCTGGCCACCCCCAGCCTCAATTCCCAGAGGAGTTGAATTAGCTAGTGCAATGCATCGGCCCCCAGTAATGCTGGATAAGGTCATATTACAACATGCATAGCGAGGTGCAGATGCTGTAATGTGTTGCTGTCATGGTGTGCATGCTGACTGTCTCCTCCCAGGTACGATATAAAAGGCTGCCAGGTGAGTCGGTGGACAGACCCAGCACCCGAAGGCAGCCAGATCATTGTGGTTCTGAAGGACCTGAACTTTGAAGGGAAAAACATCAATCTGGGTAAGAGATTATACCACACTGTCCAACAAAGAGCATGAAGTTTGTCCAAGCTGTGGTTGTTTTGTTACCCTTTCCAGCACCTGGGTGGCCCTCTTGTTGTTGAGCTCTCTGCTGTAGTAATGAATTATTGTTGATTAGTTATAATTGTTGATTAATTTATTTTCTAAAAAAAGCAACCATTTAAGTAAAACTGTGACGTTATTAAATAGCACCTCATTGAATACATCAGATTTAATCTAATGTGTCTCTTCTAATGGAAGAGATGCAAAAGCTGATCTAAATGCCAACAGCCATTTCTGTACCAGGCACTTCTTCGGCCATCAGAATTCACTTTTTAATTTGCTTTAAAGCGTGCTGTGACTTGGCACTACATGGTGGTAAACAGGAATGTTGTTGCTGTTGCATATTATGTTAAAGGGTCTCAGACTGCACCCAGTTTAATGTTCTTGTGTGTTCGGGTACATTTCCAGATATCAGATGGAGATGTGATAAGTGAGTGTGTGCGCGTCTGTGTTTGTGTCTGTCTGCCCTGCGATGGACTGGTGTCCCATCCAGGGTGTACCCTGCCGTGCGCCTGTTGCTTGCTGGGACAGGCTCCCCTGTGACGCTGTGCTGGATAAACAGTTAGGAACTGGATGGAAGGGTGAGGTGGGGGTGTGTGGGATTCCACCTGTTTTCTGGAGGACTGGGTGGTTTGTTCCAGCCGGGGGAGAAGTGGATGTCCACGAGGAGGTCTGTTCGTTTGGCAGGCGGTTCCTAATATTTTGGCCAGTGAGCCTGTACTGCAGTGGCACCGGTCCTGGGCACCCACTCTGTGTCCCGTTGTGTCCTGGCAGGCCAGCAGCGCTCCTGGCTGGTGAGGCAGGTGGAGATTGACACGGCCTTCCTGCAGCAGCTCAACGTGCTCGACTACAGCCTGCTGCTGGCCCATCAGCCCCTGCACAAGGACGAGAAGGGCCAGAGCCTCTCCTTCGCTAACCTCATCATGCGCACCAAGAAGTACGTTCAACTCCCTGGCCAAGGCCGGACACAGTGGCCTCAAATCCTGGAAGAATTCTGCGTGCATGCCGCAGAAATATCACATGGCTGTGGCTCTGAGTTCTCATCTATAGCTCTCTGAGACTTAATTGGACTAGTCATCTGATTAATGAAGTGTCTATTTAGCCTCTGAAATTGATTAGGTTAGCTTAAACCTAGCAAGATCTGTGGGTTAATGGAAACAGTCTACACGTACATTAAATAAAGTAAATGAGTGTTCAGCTTAAACAAAGCTGGAAAAGGGCGAGAAGAGATCGTATCCGGGAGAAGGGATTAGGATTACTGCGTGCAGACAAGCTGTAAATTTGATCAGGTGTTATTTCTGTATTTATCACTCTGATTCCGTTCTCAAACTGCAGTCAGGTGTCGTTTACGTGTGCAGGATTCAGACGTCTGGTTCACAGACTTCACATTTATTTTTGTGAACCAGATTTTCTTTGATTTTTTTTTAAAAAAGTTTGCAAACGAGAGCAAACCGATGAAACATTTGAACCACCCCCTTCCCCACCTGTGGTACCCCTCACTGCGTTTCCCGCTGAAGCATGTTGGAAGCAAAATCAGACAGCTGTGCAATAATAGGGATTTCACCATGTTGCAGCAAACTTCCACTGTTCCATCATTCCCAGCACCAAGAATCTGAGTGGCACAGAGCTAAATAGCTGAATGTTTTAAAATATTGGTAAATGAGGCAGGATCTAATGTGCCAACACCTTTTAAACTGCATTCAAGACCAGCCTTTGACAAACCAGGGGTTATCATTTCACACACATGTTCTAGGAGAGAACAAGCAAACCCTTGTTTAGAATTGTGGGCAAAGCAGAATAAGGGACACGCTTCACAAAAGCATTCATTGTCCTTTATTTGAAGAGAGAGAAAAAAACTAGCTGAACCATATCTGTATGACCCATTCCAGAACAGGGATTTATTAATGGTTAAATGCAGACTCAGAATGTTTCAGTCTGGATTGATGACCACTAATGCACAGAATTCACCTGTACTGCTAACATTTGACACTAAATTTCTACACTTTAAGCTAGAGCAAGCCAAGTCCTGACAATCTTTTTTTAAAAATTAATTCTTGATTTTCAGGTCGTGGTCTTCATCCTTCCTTAGAAGACTGATTGTCAGGCATGTAAGAAAGAAAAGGCTAGCTTTGTAGTGCTCCGGCTGCAAGTCACATCCACCCCAAAGCTCTAAAACAGAAACTAACTGCATTGTAACTCACTTGCTAACACTAGAGGCTTCTACAAGTTACACAACAACTGCCCAGTTCCTTCAGCCTGTCAGTGTGGGACATTCCTTTAAGTCTCTTCTCTCTCCCAGAGCTTCAATATCTTTTTTTTTATAACATGGTGACCAGAAATGTACACAGTATTCTTCATGAGGCCTTTAGTGTCTTATATGGTTTTATCACAACGTGCAGATTTAAATTCTGAGCATTTAATTATGTACCCTAGCATTTATTCAGCCTTTTTAATTACTCCATCGCTTTGTCTAGATGGTTTCAAGAATAATCAAATATTAATGGAAATAATAATAATCATCTTTTGCACCAAAATCACATCAGCATACCAGGAGCACAAATATCGTCAGATTGATGATGATGATGATGATGATGGGTGGCTGCTGTATGCTTCCCCTCCCCGCCGCAGGTCGGTGAACCCGGGCACCAGCCCCTCTCACTCGGGGGCCCCCTCGGTGCCGGGCGCGGTGGAGGAGGATGCGACGCTGCTGGTTTCGGAGCTGGAGTGCGGCACGGACCGCTGTCAGGTCAGGGAGGTGCACCGCGACAGCCCCGACATCCCCCTGCGGGCGTTCGACGGCGCCGCCGGCGCCCCCGGCCCCGGACTGCGGGAGCTCCAGGCCCAGAACCGCCGCCTGCTGCCCAACTTCAGAAACCCCCTCCACGTCATCGACGGGCCCGAGCTGCGCTACTTCGTGGGCATCATCGACATCTTCACCGTCTACGGCTTCAGGAAGAGGCTGGAGCACCTGTGGAAGAGGCTGCGGTACCCCGGGCAGGCCTTCTCCACGGTCAGCCCTCCCGCCTACTCCAGCCGGCTGTGCCAGTGGGTGCAGGCTCACGCCCAGTAGAGCAGCCGCGCGGCGCCCAGAGCCCCGGGCCGCCCTACCGCGCGGGCGTGCGACGCCTCAGCTGCAGAGCCGCCACCGCCGGGAGCCCAGCTCTTCCCGCGCTTCGGTTGTCTTACGAAAACATTTTCTATTTTGTTTATTTGAAACACATGTGACATTAATTCGGAGTTGAAGACTGGGAACCGGGACCTTGACTTTAGCACAGGCAGGGCGATGGCTCGCTAGTACTCAGCTCTTTGGGGTTTGCTCTGTTCTGCGATAACAGTCCCCACTGGTCTGGTGTTGGCGTTGGGTGGACGAGATATTGAATCTTGCCAGCCTCACGTGTTTGATGCCCGTCTTGCTGTGTGTCATGGAAACCAGGCACACTCCTGTCACCCCAAGTGAGTCTCTAGCTGAGGGGCTCCCATCCTGGCTCTGGGGACCCACACGCTTCCAGCTCTCAGTTACAATCGGACCCTCAGCTGACTTAATAATAGGTTTAACTCCAGCTGGTTGAATGTTTTCGTGTAGCATCCCAGACATTTGAATGGAAAAAACTTGCAAATATTCAGATCAAGCAGCTTGCTGAGCTCAGTTCAGGCTTCGACTGGGGATTGAAATCCAGCAGTTGTGTGGGCTTCCTTGGCCAAGACTGGAGACCCCTTGTGCAGCTGTCTGTTATCCAGCTGTCTTAGTTAAGCCAACTTGTATGGCGAATACTTTCTAAGCAATTGCTGCAAAATTAAAAAGTTGGTGCTAATAGAACAGGAAAATCCACCATGCTCTGCATGAGTTGAATCTTTCAGCTTCAAACATACAGAATTTGTCAGACTTTGCTGATTTTCGTGGATATAATAATAATTCCATGAATTTTTTTAGTGCTTTTCACCCCCAAAGGATCCCGGAGAAAACAGCGTTCACAGCAACAAAAACGATTTCCAAGGGGAATCATGGATTCCTGAGAGTCAGCAGGCCTTGTAGATGATGAGATGAGGGGTTTAGAAGGTCTTGATGGCACAGAGAAGAACAGTCACGCTTAGAAGAGGGATGCCACACAGTCCGATTGCCCCAGTCTCCGTCTGGGCTGTATTGGGCTGTATACTGCCCTGCTGCAGGCGGGACTGTGTTCCCCTTGGTTCAGTACCACCCCACCAGGCCAGGCTCTTTTCTTCCTTGCCTCCAAGTATTAAAAGTCTGTGTGAAGATGTGTTCTGAAGTGAAGATGCTGCTTTTTAAGGGATTGAAGGTTTTGTTTGAGGGGAGCATGATATTGTGTTAAGTTGTAGTAATTAACTATATGCCTGTAACATCTGTTGCAAATTATTCCTGGTCTAAAACAGACAGAATCTGGCAATAGAAAGTGGCCCTGATGTGGCTTAAAGAAGCAGAAAAAATAATATCATGTCTCTGCTATGGTAAATAGTATACAAAGTATTGCTGTTGTATACTTAAGTTGAAATTTTCAACCTAATAATGTTTAAATGGTAATGTTGATCAAGATGCAGCAAAATCATGAAGTTATCTTTCAGTTTATACTATGAATGATCTCTTTAGAAATTATTTTGCCATTGCGATGAAGAAGTGTAAGTGTATCACTGCCCTTTGGTGCCAAGTCCCGCACATTCTGTTGGTCTTGAACATGGTCATTGTGGTGAAATTCTTCCCACGATTTTCTTTGGTGTAATGAATGCAATGCTCACTAATGCGCACGGAGAGCACTCTCACACACAAGGGCTGAAGGTAGTGAAACTGCATGAATGAGCCACTGCTTATTAGAATTTGACACTTGGAAGTGTCTTAATTTCCTGCAGCCTGGAACTGGCTCAGAGTGTAAAGAGATGACAGCCTGTGCCTTTTTCTTTTGCAAAAGTCATTCATGGATGTGGCATGTGCACTGCCAGACACAATAATGTAACAATAATGATAATTAAATTTTAGGTTTCATTGTATTCCTGTTTTTGTCTTTTCCTTCTTCTCCAATATTGAGGAAATTATTCAAAATTTCATCTAATAGTCCTTGTGGTGCGGATGTATTCAGTTGAAAGGAAGGAGGTTTGTAAATGAGAGCGTGGTGTTGATCTGAGGATCAGCTCCTTCTTGAAAGAAGCTCCAAAAACATGACTGGGTAGCTTGTTCCAGACCCCCACAGCCCTTTGTGTAAAAAATCCTTCTGTACTTAATTGAAATTCATCTCATTCGAGATCAAAATGCAACATATATATTTCCTATTCTTACTCTACCCTGAAATAATAAGAGTTTTTTGCTCTATCAGCTCAATGTGTGGACAGGTATGGCAGTATTCAATATGCCCAGCAGGTAGAGCTCTTGAGGTGGACCATGTCCTTCAGATTATGTAGGAAATATTTGCATTTAGTGTAGGTGGACAAAGAACAGATGAACAGTGAATTTATTTTTGGTATCCTAAAAAAAAATTAGACAGAAACTCATTTTCTAAAGCGGAAACAAGTCATGTACCTGAATACATGTTTTATTTTATGTGAAAAAACCTTCATTCTTCCAGATTTGATTATGATTAAGTACAGGAGGTTCTCTCCAGTTTGCATGGCTAGGGAATCTATTATCCCTATTCTGTCCTGTTTCTTTAGTAATCATATAGTATGCACGCTAAACCAGACAAGGAAATTGCTGGGTTCAACTTGAGGCACGGGGTATTTAAATTTAGCACTCGTGTAGTTACAGAGATAGACCATTTCAGAAATGGACTGGAGCGACTGAACAGGGCCATCCTAATCTTCGAGTCCAGTCCAGCCAACTGGAAAAGGCTGCCATGAATTGTGTATCTCCACTCCTGTGCAGACACTGGCACTAAGTTGAAACAGCAGGTGTGCAGAGTAAGGTCTTTTTTTCTCATTTTCAAAAAGGCTGCAGTTTTAATAAAATATGTGGAGGGGCTAAAGTAAAGCACATAATTCCTGGAGACAAATAATGTCTGCCTGGCCTTTGTGAAAGATAAGGAAAAGGATGCTGATGGGACTGGAAGCATTGCAGAGGAGAGAGAAGCAGGTGGAGAGGAGATGGATTTTGATGTTTAAATGGAATCATATGGGTTATGGCAATGGCATCATTCACTGCACTGAAATAAATCGATAGGAAATAAGCATCTATTAAATTTGGTCACCATTTCGCCTTCCAATGCAGCAGCTTCTCTTTTCGAATTGATGGTTGCAGTCCTTCCACTTCAGTGCATGGGCTTGAATTATTTCACTGCAGTAGAGGTCAATGCATTCTTCTTTAATGAACTCACCGAGGCTCAGCAAGCTGGTGGAGGGATGCTAGCACTGCTGCTTACCCACTCCAGGGTTCAGGGTTTGGGTCTGGACATGGGTCTGTCCATGTGTAGTTTGCAGGCCCCCCACGTGTACCTGTATTAAAATTAAATAATACAGTTTCCTTCTCCCCAGAAGCAGAGTAGTCATGTGCTCTCAGTCCCATGTGCCTCTGGGATAGGCTCCAGCATGCCGTGACCGTCAACCAGGATAAACTGTTTTCTTAAGAGGGATAAATGGATTTTGGGATCACGGTTTTAGCTTTACAAACCCACGTTCAGAATCACGCAGCTTAACTAGTATTTCATTGCATTCAGGATAATGTATTGATTCTTTTGTCCTAAGTTGTTTTCATTCTTAAAGAGGTTTTTCCTGTTTTTTTAAGCACCGTCCTACAACTTTTGAGAACACACTGCTGTTGTTAAGTCTGCATTTCCTACTGATGCCCTATATGAGAATCCTAATTGTACCAATATAAGGAGCTCAAATTAATTTACTTCACAATTTCATTAAAAAGCTCTATTCATTAGTTTACAGGTTGTCCAGAAGGCTATATATTACAGTTACTCAGACCCGTGCCAAATTAAATGAGCTGTGACATAGAGCTGACATTTACTATGAAACAGAGGGGTAACTTGCAGCTCGCCTTCTGTGTTATATACAGGGTCTTAGACACTGCAGTTCATGCAGACTATTTCACTATATCGGAGGTTTGTTTATGGTTAAATGGTGAGACTCTGTACCAAGGTCCTTGGTACTGAGAGGTCTAAAACAAACCAGCTCTGCAGAAGAAATGCTGTCAGCTTTGCTATGAATGTTGCCAGCGCACTCAGATCGACTGATACTGTAGGTTTTCAGGCACCACTTTATATCCACTTTGCTGTCCTTCCATGTCCTGATAGCTTTCAGACACGGATTTGATTAATATGATTTCCTGCAGATTCTGTCAGGGTTGACTGGAACAGCGGTGATAGGGATCTGGCCTTTAGCACAGCAGACGCAGCCTGGATTGCCAACAGTCAAGAGACTGCTGAGCAACCCCCTGCAATTC